GAGGTCGCCCGTACCTCCATGATCCATGCGGCGGCTCCCCATTTTCTGTGGCCGTTTGCGGTCCGGTACGCCGCGCATCAGCTCAACCTCTAGCCCTGTGTCCCCTAGCCGGAGACCTCGCCCACACTGTTGTGGACGGGGGAGGTTGGCGATGCGTCGCGTTTCTGGGTCTGGGGTGCTCGTGCCTTTGTCCGCGATCTCACCGCGGACAAGCTCTCTGCTCGCGCCATTCCCTGCGTCTTCCTTGGTTTTCCTCCTGACGCGCCTGGCTGGCAGTTTTACGACCCCACCTCGCGCCGTGTCTTTGCATCTCAGGACGTCACCTTTGACGAGTCTGTTCCCTTCTACCGTCTCTTTCCCTACCGCACTGCCTCTCGCCCCCCCCCCCCCCCCCCCCCCCCCCCCCCGCCGCTCTTTCTCGCTCCAGGTCCTCCCCAGGTAGACCCCCTCCCCGCGCCAGGTCCTGCTCCTTCAGGTGTTTCTCAGGTAGACCCTCCGGTACCTGCGCCTGTTGAGGTCACTGGTGACTTGGGTCCTGCTGGAGGTGGTCCTGCTCGGGGTGCTGTCTCTGGGGGTGCTGAGCCTGGGGGTGCGGAGCCTGAGCGAGAGGAGCCTGGAGGTGCTGAGCCTGGGGGTGCGGAGTCTGGGGGTGCTGTGCCTGCGCGTGAGGAGCCTGGAGGTGCTGAGCTTGGGGGTGTCGAGTCTGAGGGTGCGGAGCCTGAGCGAGAGGAGCCTGGAGGTGCTGAGCCTGGGGGTGCGGAGTCTGGGGGTGCTGTGCCTGCGCGTGAGGAGCCTGGAGGTGCTGAGCTTGGGGGTGCCGAGTCTGCGAGTACTGAGCCTACGCGTGAGGAGCCTGGAGGTACTGCACCTGCGAGTACCACGTCTGAGGGTGCTGAGCCTGCATGTGAGGAGCCTGGGGGTGCTTAGTCTGACGGTGCAGCGCCTGAGGGCACTGCTCCTACTGCTACGCGGTCTCCTTGGAGTAGCCGCCTACGTCCGCGTACACCTCTCACCTCACAGCAGCTGCACGACTGGTACGGTCGCCGTCAGGGTCGCGCTGCTAGCGCTCGTGGAGGTACTTCTGCTGTCGTCACTGGAGCTTGGAGTGGAGCTAGAACTTTGTCTACTGGAGGTGCTGGAGTCGCTGGTCCCGGAGGTGCTCGTACTGGAGGTACTGGAGCTGATGGGGCTGGAGGTGCTGCGTCTTGAGGTGTTGCTGCTGGAGACACTGAGGCTGGAGACCCTGGGACTGGAGGTGCTGGTTCTGGGGGTGCTGCTGCTGGTGGAGCTGGTTCTGGAGGTGCTGGCGCTGGAGGTTCTGGCGCTGCTAGGGGTACTGCAGCTGCTGGAGGTGCTGGAGCCGCTGGTGCTGGTACCGCTGCACCGACGCGACTTTTCTTCGCTCCGCCGTCTCCGTCGTCTCTGCCGCCGCCTGACTCTGTTCTTCGTCAGGTTCTTACTCTTCCGTCGTCTACTGGTCTTCCGTTACAGCCTGGCTCACCGCTGCCTGCTCCTTCTCCTTACACGGAGCAGAAAGGTAGCCTTGCTAAGCGTCGTGAGCCTGTGTTGCGTCCCGTCTCGCCTGTTTTTTCTGGTCGTACCGTTCGTCGTGTTCCTCGTTTGCGTCAGCCGGCTGTCCCCAGCACACACCTCGTAGTCCGTTGTCCTTCCTCTGCTCCGCAGCCTGTTCCTCTGCCGTCTCCCCCTGCGTCCTCTCTGCCTGACGTTCCGGACCCTGAGTCTGACCGGTTTTGTGCTGAGCACCCTACTGTCACGCGTCTGCTAGCCACTGTTGTTACTGACCCGTCGTTTGAGTCCACTGCTGCGTCTGCCTTGGTTGCTGAGCTTGTTGACTTTGCTGCTGCCTGTCGTCTAGACTACGCTGCTAGTCTTGTTGCTGAGTCTGAGTCTGTCTGTCCTCCGTCCGTCGGGGGTGAGTGTGCTCTTAGCATGGACGTCCTTGAGGACAGGCACGAGGACCTTGAGTGTCTTGCAGCCGCTGCGCCTCATCTCATGGCCGTGCTGCTTGCCCCTGAGGGAGACCCGGATGCACCAGACATCCCGACCCCGCGCTCTTACGCTGAGGCGATTGCGGGTGAGTATTCCTCTCAGTGGCAGACAGCCATGGACGCAAAGATGGCATCCTGGAAGTCCACAGGCACTTACGTCGATGAGGTTCCCCATCCTGGGGCGAACATCGTCGATGGCATGTGGATTTTCAGGATGAAGCGGCCGCCGGGTTCTCCGCCTGTCTTCAAGGCTCGTTACGTTGCTCGAGGCTTCAGTCAGCGAGAGGGAGTTGACTTCTTCCAGACCTTCTCCCCCACCCCGAAGATGACCACTCTTCGGGTGCTGCTGCACGTTGCCGCTCAGCGTGACTACGAGCTTCACTCACTTGACTTCAGCACAGCCTTCTTACAGGGCAGCCTGCACGAGGAGATCTGGCTGCGCCGCCCACCTGGCTTCACTGGGTCGTTTCCTCCTGGTACCCAGTGGAGTCTCCGGCGGCCAGTCTACGGTCTCCGCCAGGCGCCTCGTGAGTGGCACGACACACTGAGGACGACGCTTGCGGCTCTTGGGTTCGCTCCTTCGACTGCTGACCCGTCGCTGTTCCTGCGCACCGACACTTCACTGCCGCCGTTCTACATCCTCGTGTACGTCGACGACTTGGTCTTTGCCACTGCTGACACTGAGGCTCTCGCTCAGGTGAAGTCGGAGCTGCAGAAGAGACACACGTGCACAGACCTGGGTGAGCTGCGCAGCTACCTTGGCTTGCAGATCACCCGGGACAGAGCACGCCGCACCATCACCCTGACTCAGTCACACATGGTGCAGCAGGTCCTTCAGCGCTTCGGCTTCTCCTGGTCCTCCCCACAGGCCACTCCTCTGGCTACAGGTCACTCGCTCTCAGCTCCACCTTCGGAAGAGTCCGTAGAGCCGAGTGGTCCTTACCCAGAGCTAGTTGGCTGCCTCATGTACCTGATGACCTGCACTCGACCTGACCTCGCATACCCTCTTGGCCTTTTGGCTCGTTACGTGGCTCCTGGCAGGCACCGAAAGGTGCACATGGATGCTGCCAAGAGGGTGTTGCGCTACCTGTGCAGTACATCAGGCATGGGGCTCGTGCTTGGAGGACGGAGTGAGGTGGTGCTCACTGGGCACTCAGACGCGTCTTGGGTTGACGACCAGACTACACAGCGGTCGTCGCAGGGTTACACCTTCAGCCTTGGCTCTGGCTCTGTTTCTTGGCGGTCTACACGCTCGTCTTCTGTTCTCAGCTCCAGTTGTGAGGCTGCACAGGAGCTACGCTGGCTCACCTACCTGCTGACTGACTTGGGTGAGCGGCCTCGTTCTCCTCCAGTTCTGTACGTTGACAACAAGGCGGCCATTGCCTTGTGTGAGGAGCACAGACTGGAGCACAGAACGAAGCACATCGCTCTGTGTTACTTCCTGGCTCGAGAGTTGCAGCAGCGAGGTCAGCTTCGTCTTCGTCACGTGGCCACTCGGGCCAACACTGCTGATATATTCACCAAGGCACTTCCGTCTGGTGATCATCAGCGCTTCTGTACCCTGTTAGGCCTTGTGCCTACGTTTCCACACTTGCTGTAGTCCTTGCTTGTACTGTGATCTATATATATACCTGCTTGCTGGCTCTTGCTAGATAGTCATCACTGTACTGTTATTGCTGCATATATATCTCTGCATGTGAACTGGCCTTGTGGCCCTTTGCTTGTGCTCAGAGTGTGTGGTGACGTTGTGATCCACCCTGAGCTTGCTTTGCTTTTGTTGACTGGTCTTGTGGCCTCTGGCTCTCCCCCACTTTGCCTATGGGGGTGTGTCAAACATATATGTGTGTTATTATTGTTCTTGGTAGGCTGTAGTGGGGTAGATAGTATGAGGTACATTTCCTTAGGGTTATCTTTTGTACCAAACTTCTCGATAGAAAACTTCAACCTTGCCTAGCTACTTTAACAAGGCTCACCGCTTGTGGCAGCGCAGCACAGCTACGGAGTGTTTCAGGCCTGCCCTCCGCGCTCACCTCTTGTCACAGCGCAGCACAGCCACAGAGTGAACTCTAAACCTTCCGTCAGACGAGAGACATCACACCCACCCACCCACCTCTCAGGCCTCCCCTCCCCGACGCACACCTCTTGTCACAGCGCAGCACAGCCACGGAGTGACTGTTGAGCCGACTTAAAGGTCATCACACTCACCTCCCCTTCAGGCTCACGCTCACCGCTTGTGGCAGCGCAGCACAGCGACGGAGTGGGGCTCACAAAGGTCGCAGGAGAGCAGCAGCACCCGCACAGGCCCACCCACCCACCAGCACATCTGTTCCAGTACTGCCCCCCTCCCTCCCTCCCCGATCCATCCTCCCCGCTCACCACTTGTGGCAGCGCAGCACAGCCACGGAGTGACCTTTGAATCTTCCATTAAGCAAAAGTCATCACTGCTCACCGCTTGTGGCAGCGCAGCACAGCGACGAAGTGGGGCCCACAGGGGGCGCAGGAGAGCAGCAGCAGAGACGTCTGGATGCTGCTTGCCCCCACCGACCCAAACAGAGCCACCAGCGAGTCTCCTAGCAGCCGCTCCAACACCTCCCTCTGCACTCCCCTCTGCTCGCCTCTCTGCTCGCCCCTCTGCTCGCCCCTCTGCTCGCCCCTCTGCTCGCCTTTCTGCTCGCCCCTCTGCACTCCCCTCTGCTCGCCCCTCTGCACTCCCCTCTGCTCGCCCCTCTGCCCGCCCCTCTGCTCGCCCCTCTGCACTCCCCTCTGCTCGCCCTTCTGCTCGCCCCTCTGCACTCCCCTCTGCACTCCCCTCTGCTCGCCCCTCTGCTCGCCTCCCTGTTCGCCTTGCTGCTGCCCCTTTTGTTACCCTTTACTCTGCTGCTGCTGGCGGTTCACGTTCACAGATCTGAGAGACACAAACGGAGAGGCAAACGTGCAGAAAGAAAAAGAAGCCACGGGATGACTGACTGACAGATGACGGGACAAGGCAGCATGGCTGTCCAGCCCGGTTGGGCCGCAGCGAAGACACAGGAAAGTTTCGGGAAGGAGGTGACTTTTGAGTCGACTCAAAAGTCACCTCGAGGGGCAAACGTGAAGAAAGAAGAAGAAGCCATGAGATGACTGACAGATGACGGGACAAGGCAGCACGGTTGCCCAACCCGGTTGGGCCGCAGACACAGGAAAGTTTCGGGAAGGCACAGAAGGCAAGAAGAGATGGAGGTAGCTGTGCCCTCTCGCTCACATGGTAATGCGCAGGTAGCTGTGCCCTCTTGCTCGGTAATGCGCAGGTAGCTGTGCCCTCTCGCTCACATGGTAATGCGCAGGTAGCTGTGCACTCTCGCTCACATGGTAATGCGCAGGTAGCTGTGCCCTCTCGCTCACATGGTAATGCGCAGGTAGCTGTGCCCTCTCGCTCACATGGTAATGCGCAGGTAGCTGTGCCCTCTCGCTCACATGGTAATGCGCAGGTAGCTGTGCCCTCTCGCTCACATGGTAATGCGCAGGTAGCTGTGCCCTCTCGCTCACATGGTAATGCGCAGGTAGCTGTGCCCTCTCGCTCACATGGTAATGCGCAGGCTGTACGTCGTCTGCTGGACCGTCCCCGTCCCCATGTCCCCTGACGCGCCGTCCCCTGAAGCGCTGACGCGCCGTCCCCTGACGCGCCGTCCCCTGAAGCACCGTCCCCTGACGCGCCGTCCCCTGAAGCACCGTACGCGCCGTCCCCTGACCGTCCCTTGAAGCACCGTCCCCTTGCGTCGTCTTCTAATGTGCCGTCCTTTGATGCATCATGTAACGGGCGAGATGGTTTCGCAGGATATCGCGGCGAGCAGTGATGGCGCTGAATGGCAAGCGGTGCTGCTAATAACGGGTATTTGTTTTCTGATTAGCAAACCCTGAGACGAGGCGAAGGCTCTCGTGGGAACAAGAGAAGCGGTCCGAATTGGAGGGCATGACCGCTTACGAAGCATAAACGCTTACGAATCATAATCGCTGACAAAGCATAAACGCTTTCTGTCTGGGCAACTGTACAGTGACTCGGTGAACCGTTGTGAGCCGTGATGTTTACAACGTGACTAATGCGAAGTGCGTAGCGTAACTCAAGAATAACAGAAAGCAAACCCCGCAGTAGACCGAGAGAACGGCAGCACTCTAGGCTGGCGCGTCGCATGGATTGAGGGCAGGCTTTGGATCTGCGCCGTGCGCGAGAGAGAGAGAGAGAGAGAGAGAGAGAGAGAGAGAGAGAGAGAGAGAGAGAGAGAGAGAGAGAGAGAGAGAGAGAGAGAGAGAGAGAGAGAGAGAGTCGACGATGAATTCAAGCGAAGATGCGCCGGGAGAGAGTTTTGCTCAAATCCGCGGAATCGCGGCTTGCTTTATTATCGCCACGTGGCAGCACTACGATCGCGAGAAGCGCGATCTCTTTTATTTTTCCCACACTTGAAATGTTTTGATACCTTTTCTCTGTTTTGCGATGACCGCCAAGATTTGTACGGTGGCGATCCACCCTAAACCCTAAACCCTAAACCCAGGCGGCAGCGGCGGTTTCGACAAGTTGCTGAGGAGTTTAACTGCGCAGCTGAGAAGATATGACAAAGAGGAGAGGAAGCGTGTGAAGCTTACGAGAGGTGTTCTGGAGGAGCAAGTGGAGCAGCTACAGCACAAGGTGATGGCTAACCCGTACGATGACGAGGTGCAGGCTCTGTTGTCCAGCCGGGAAGCGATGCTGCAGAGATACTGGGACGGGAGGAGGAATTGGTTGCAGCTACGGTCGGGGCTTAAAGTGCAGCTGGACGGGGAGGCACCAACAAGTTTCCTGACGGCGCTGGTCAAGAGTAGGAAGGCAAGGACGGGGATAAAAGAGCTGGTGAGAAATGGGGTCAGTCACACAGACGCACGGGATATACTGGAAGCGGCTACCTGTCACTTCAGAGAGGCGTTCGACGAGGTACCGGCAGGTGTTGCAGAGCCAAGTCTGGAGTGGTTGCCGAGGAACACGTTGGATGAAGCGGCCGTAGCAAGCCTGTCGCTGGAGTGGTCGGAGCAGGAGGTCAAACAGGCGCTCAAGGAGTTGGCTAACGACAAATCACCAGGTCGTGATGGCTTGCCCAAGGAGCTTTTCCAGCGGCACTGGGAGCTGCTACGGGAGCCAGTGATGAAGATGATCGGAGAGTTCACTGCAACAGGGAAGCTACCAGACGTGGCAAACGAGGCGGTCACAATTTTGCTGTACAAGAAAGGTGCGGAGACGGATATTAAGAATTACAGGCCGATTACACTGCTTTCAGGGGTGTATAAACTGCTGGCAAAGGTGGTAGCGACGAGGATGAAGGCGGTGCTGGGACAGGTGATTTCAAAAGAGCAGTACGGTTTCTTACCGGGGAGGAGGTTAACGGATGCGGTGTCGATGGTAGCCGATATGATTGAGGCGGGCCGGAACGAAAACAGTGACTGGTACCTTCTTCTGATCGACCTCGAGAAGGCGTACGATTCAGTGCGCAGGGGCTTTATGGTGGAAACGGTCGCCAAGCTGGGTTTCCCGCCAAGATTTGTACGGTGGATAGATGCCCTGCACAGCGACGTTCACACAAGGCTGTGTGTTCACGGTTGGGTGGGAGAGAAAATCGAGATGAAGAAAGGGGTGCGTCAGGGTTGCCCACTGGCGCCGTACCTTTTTTTGTGCGCGGTGGAGCCTTTGTGCCGGCTCGCAGAGGGAAGAAAACTGGGAATCGGGGAGGGTAGTTGCGACCGGCTGTCCTATGTGGGGTACGCGGACGACACGACCTTGTTGCTGGAGGGTGAGCAGCAACTGAAGGATGCAGGTGTCCTGCTGCAAGAATACGCGGAGGTGTCGGGGCTGAAGGTGAACAGGGGGAAATCTGCGGTCCTGCCGATAGGGAGAAACGTGGGACAGCAGGCACCTGATGACATGGAGTACAAGTGGGTGGGGGCAAATGAGGTTGAGAGGCTTCTCGGTGTATGGATTTCACCAGGGGGAGAAGCAGATGCAACCTGGGAAAAGGCCTTTGACAGAGCAGCAGGGGAGCTGAGCAAGTGGAGTACTAAATATCTTACGACTGGAGCACGCGTGACCGTTATCAACAGCTATGTTCTTCCAATCTTCCTGTTTCAAGCGCAGGTGTATCCGCCGGATGACCTGTTGTGGCGCAGGGTAGAAAAGCTGATTGAAAACTTCGTGTCCGGTAGCCACGCTGATACGGAACGGCACTTCAGACTCTGGAGCGGGGACCTGATATACACGCCAAGGGAGCAAGGGGGACTGGGTGTGATAGATCCAAGGGGGAGAATCGACAGTGTGGCGTTGAGATGCGCGGGCCTGGCGCTGCAGCAGGAATGTTCACTAAGAAGAGGTTTGTCGGAGAAAGCGGCAGGCCTGCCTCTTGGGTGGGCGACGCTGTACGCGCACAAGGCGGTGCTGAGAGGAGGCTTGTTTAAAAGCAGGAGGTGGGCACGGCTGTGCAAAACTTTTTTAAAGTCGACGGTGGTAACGGTACCAGAGGCGGCATCTAGGTGGGAAGCAGAAGAGGAGTTTCTCTGTTACAACAGATGCATCATTCACCGCGGTAATGCATCGTTCGGTGGACAAAAGGGCACTGAACGGCTGAGATCGTGGCGTATGCGGGACATGGTGCTGAGGAAATGGGATGGCACCAGGACGCTTAAGCCGGAAGCGACGTTGGTGAGGGAGCTGGGCGGAAGCAAGGAGGCGGAGATGGCGCTGAAGGCTTTCAACGCGGCACCAGAGCGGTGGCGGCAGTGGGTTTTGGCGCCGTTAACAGCAGAGGAGGTTGCGGCAGAGTCACCGGTGGTGTGCACCAGGCTACCAGGTGGGCAAAGGTGCCTCTGGGAGATCTGCGGCAAGATGGGCAGGAAGGTGGAGCTTCGGGGTCTCAGCGGCAGAGGAGAGCGAACGCCGTGGGACGTAAGGCTGGTGCTGTGCTGTGATAGTGTGTTACCGGTGAAACTATCTCAAGCGCGGGCGGTACGGGAGGCTGGGGACCCTAGGGCCCGGCTGCTTAGTTCATCACTATTCAAGGAAGAGGTGGTGGTCCCAGTAAGAGGACTCAGGGAGCTGAGCAAGGGGGTGGAGGCGGTGGAAGGGAAGAGGTCGTGCTGGGAGGCTCGGGCGGGCAGAAAGATTGACTGGGAGAGGAGCAGGAAGGTCCGGGACTCGTTGGTGGTTCCAGCCAAGGCGAGAGATGTGCTCCTACGGGTGCACAACCTCAACTTGCAAGTGGGGGAGAGGGTTCCGTTTGTGAAGGGCGGGGTGGCATGCCCGAACTGTGGGTTGGAAGAAACGCTGGAGCACTGTTTGCTGGAATGCAGGAGTGTGGTGCCAGTGGTTAATGCTGTCAAGTCGGCGCTCAGCATGATGCAGCCAGCAAGGCGGGCTGACAGGCTAGCAGATTTTGTGTTCGGAGAGGAGGAGACGAAGTCCGGATTTCTCGAGGCTACAATGGTGGCAGTGGCGTTACATCAGGTTTGGTTGGGAAGGTGTGATGTGTCGCTCCGAAAGGTGAAAAGGTTTCAGGCACGGAAGGTGCTCAGGAGGATCAACGTCGAATTCAACAAGCATGCAAGAATCTACTGTGGCACGCCAAGAAGGAGGGCACGAAAAGGTAAGGCGAGGTGGAACTTGGCGGAGGATGAGGCACGTGCCATGCGGCGGATATGTGTCAGCGAGGTGGTGGGGCTGAAGTGGCAAGGCGGTTTCCAGTCCATCTGGTCGAACCCGAGAACCTTCGTGAAGCCACCGTAAAGCTGTGGGGAGGGCCAGGCGATCTTTTCGCCAGCCTAATCCCAGTTAATCAGTTACGACTGAAGTGTTTTGCTTGTACAGTATTGTGTAAGCTTTCACTTCAAAAAAAATAATAATAATAAAACAAGAGGCGACGAAATCGTCTTAGGGTTGCGAAGCAACAATGGTAACTTTCTAAAATTTTTGAAAGACGTTGATTACATCGTCATATTTAAATTAGGAATATTTGTGCCTTCTTAACCGGTATGTTTTTTATGTGAATGTTGAGTGGAAGCTGTTAATGTTTACTCAGTATTTACGTGGTATACGTTGTAGACTTGATTTTCCTACATCAATAAGAACGTTTACATGAGTAGTTCTAGGTTTCATTTCTATGTTTACAGTTCTAGAATGTTTGTTGATGTATTATTTGAACGTTATTTCAAATTTCGAATTGCTGACGTCAGCTTCATTTCGGTGACGTCATCAGCGTCAGGTAATTCGTGCGAAATTTCGATTTTTTTCTGCTGGCGTCAGCTTCGAAATCTGCGCGAAATTTCAAAATTCGCTGCTGACGTCAGACATTAATTCTCGCGCGAAAAAATCTGCTGACGTCAGCAGCGTCGCCCGAAATCAAATCGAGCATTCTCGCTGCTGTTTTTCTCGCGCGTGAAATTTGGAGGGGGGAGAAGAGGGGGGGGGGGGGGGAAAACGTCACCAGAATTTCTCGCGCGTGAAATGTGGTGGGGGGGGCGGGGGGGGTAGAAACGGGGGTTTCGTGAAACAGAACCTTTGGTCCTTTGTTTCACGTTGTTCTTGTTGTCGTAAGTGCTCATTCTGGTTGTAACTGTAAAACGCCAGCTGACGTTTTTGATTTTTGTTTTGAAAGTTGTCGTTCGTCTGCTCTGCTTTTGTCCTATTTTCCGGTTGTAACTATCAAATGAAAACGATTTTCAAGTAGATAACAGAAGAAACAGTTTCGGACTGTGAACTAGAAACAAGAAAAGCAACATTTTTCAATTGGTTGTTTTTGTTTTAGCTCAATGCTTCCAACTTTTTTTTGTCTCAATTGCACAGTAACAATTACCTTACCATTGGTCAACATTGTGTCCAATCAAGAAAGGCTCTTCCACTTCTCCCTTCCAAAACCATTACCTAGCTCTTTCTCCCTTTCTTTTCCATCCTTCTCTTACTCACACCAAACTCAAGATTTCCTTAGAGCTTCTTCTATTGTTCTTCTTCACACCAAGCTCAACACATTCAAGACCTTCAAGGTACCTATCTAGTTAATTAGCTCCATCATTCAACTCCTCTTAATCTACTATTGCCCCATGTTAAGTCAGTTGAGATATTCTTCTATTCCCTTAGTCACGTTTTTTGTTGTTTGGTGAAGATATGAGTTTCTAATCTAGATTTTTTTACTAAATCCCAACAATTCGATTTCAAACTCTTCCTGCTAGTCTCCACTTCTCATCACATTTCATAGTGTACCCTAGCTTATCTATTTAGAAGAAAGTTGAGCTCAATTCATGTGTGTATTCAAGTTGACATCTATGTTCGTGCATATACCAACATACAATCCAACATCCTGTTTTTTGTTATTTCCTGAACTTGTTTCTCTTATCAATTATCAACAGTTGGTTTAGATCAGCATCTTGACTTCAGGCTGCACCGAATTTCGAAGTCTCCATTTAAAGTTTTTGTGGTACGATTATGAGATTGCTTGTTTGTTAATAGAATTGATTCACCCGCTTTTTATTTTTACTTTATCTTTCAATTTAAGTCTATTAAAGTGATGTTGTTCTTCATTCTGTTACTCTTCTCAGCAGGGAAAACAAGAACGGATCCACACCGTCGGCACCGTCAGATTGTTAAGCATACCAAGGTTGTAATTTGATGTTTGACTATGTTCACCAATGTTCTGAATTCATTCAGTGCATATTTGTATTACAACTATTCTATTCAATATTTTCACCCTTGTAATGCTTGCTTCTACTTCTATTTTAAATGTATGCGTTTGTTGTCAGAGGTCCACTGGTGATCCCCGATTGATCCTAAGGAAGGGTTACAGGCACGTTGGCCTGGGGGGTTATGGGCGCACTCACCCGCTACATAAACAAGCCCTTTTATCCCTGTGGTTAGTGGCTGGGATTCTGACATGGTATCAGAGCGAAGGTCTTGGGTTCGAATCCCGGTGTGTGCACCTCGGGCATCCCAGTGCGGGGGGGTGTCAGAGGTCCACTGGTGATCCCCGATTGATCATAGGGAAGGGTTACAGGCACGTTGGCCTGGGGGGTTATGGGCGCACTCACCCGCTACATAAACAAGCCCTTTTATCCCAGTGCTTAGTGACTGGGATTCTGACATTTGTAACATTTGATACATATATACTTACGTTTTGTGTATTGTCTTACAGCAACATAATCAAGATTCAGCATCATCCCTTCCGAAACTGGGAGTCTACTGAAGTGTTGGCTGTAAGCATTCAAGCTGTTTACATTGTTTTTTTAATATATAATGTATTGTTATTTCATGGAGCACTTATCATTTTGAGGAAGTTATTTGGCGGTGTAGCTGGTAAATGAATATATGCTTGTGTATATGCTTGTTTATATGTTAACGCTTATTAACGGCACAATATTGTATCTTTGCCTTATCCATTTTCTCACTTCCAAGGTGACGTAGAGGCTGTGTTTTATTTATTTTTTTTCTTGCCTTTTCCTGTATTATTTGATTTGTTTTCTCATTTTTCTCTATTTAACTCATTTTTTAAACAAGTTTGTCTCCTTTTGTGTTTAAGCTCAGATTGGTGTTGAAACTCTTTGTGGGCGCGTGAATCTTGCTGAAGCTAAATATCCAAGGTCCATAATGTTTTGAAATTTTCAACAAAAAAATCATTTGTACTTTAGTGCTTTAATTTCGTACTGTTAATATTGCTGGTACTTTGTGCCTTCTTCTCTGTTTGTTGGTCATACATTTTGCCATTCAAAATATAAATCAGACATTCCATTGCGACTTGATTATAATGGGATTAATTACTATAATATTTATGCATTGTTATTTGAAAATTTTAGTACTATCTTGTCAGAATATATATACATATTGTGCATCTATTTTGGTTTTTGTGTCAATTCCTTTGTCCCTTTGTTTTTCAGCGTGCGAACTTGGATTGGCGTCGGGGCATTTGAGGGAGCATTTCGTGACATTTGGAGATGGGCACTCCTGCACCTAGACTCTTTACGGGGGCTTCAATTGACGGTGCGTTAAGAAGAAGGTTTGTATTTCGTAGAAGAAATGTATGTGGGGATGGGGCATGCTTATATCGGTGCTTGTCACTCGCAATAACCAATAATGATGAACTTTGGCGCCCATTACAGGACAAAATCGTTCAACATATACATGCAAATTGGGCAAGATATCAAATGATGGTGTCGATGTGTCATGATGTTCCGCTAGCATCGGCGGATGAATATGTCGATTATATTCAACATCCTTCAATTTGGGGTTCGGTTTGCGAAATCAAAGCCTTTTGCGAGTTACTGAACATTGTCGGAATAGTAGGTATAGTGAGAGGCCATAGCTAGGAGAACCCTAGCTAGGCAAGAGAGAATTGAACGGAAGAGGGGTTTGCACTAGCAACAACGGTGGTACAAATAGCTAACCCTAGAAGGGCTGTACTCGCTATAGAGCACCCCACTGCAGGCTAGAGCATAATATTCTGACACACCCCCATAGCCAAAGTGGGGTGTAATCAGCACAGCAAGCAAAGCAGTAGAAGCTCAGGGTGGATCACGATGTCACCACACATTCTGAGCACATTAACAAGAAGCAAAAGTTTAAAGTTCACAATTATGGGTAAAGCTAAAGCTGTCACAGAGGGCAAGCGAGGAGGAGGAGGGCTGGTGAGATGAGAGAAGAGTGGAGGCGACGACTGAAGCTGCAGACACTCGGGCAACAGACGGCTCTGGTGCAACGCTGGTGGCTACCGGGAGGAGAAAGGCCCCGGAATACAGGAGTAACAGGCTCTGCAACTGATCAGCCAGCGACAGTAGCAACGGACCCACGGGCGACAGGTGCAACCGGCTCTCTGAGCTACCGGGAGAAGAAAGGCCCCGGAATACAGGTGCTGCGGACGACACGACGGCAACCTCCGCTCAACCTCCTCCAACTGCCCCACACACCCCTCGACACACACCCCCTGCTGAACCCTAGCTCCACTCCCACGGTACCCCCCTTAAACCCCAAACCCTAGGCTCCCACACACCACCCCCCTCAGTGGCAGCTGTAGCAGAGGGAGACTAGGGAGGAGGAGGAGGAGCAGGGAACGGCACTCAGTGGCTTCACCCCCATACCCCTCACCCCCAAACCCTAATTCAGGAGAACGGGCTGTAGGAGGGGTAGGGCGCCAGTAGAAGCACGGGGGACAGTGGGGAGGGCAGGTGCAGCGAGGAACGGGCCGCCCACGGGCCTGGCACAGCCGCCCGAACCGCGCGCAGGCGGCCCGAGCCGCGCGCGGGCCTGGCGCTTCCCGTACGGGCCGCGCGCGGGCCTGGCGCAGCCCGTACGGGCCGCGCGCGGGCCTGGCGCAGCCCGTACGGGCCGCGCGCCGGCTGTACGGGCCGCGCGCAGGCCACGACGGGCGACGGGGGGGCGATTCGACGGTGGGGGGGTGCGCGCGGGTCCCCGGAGGCGACTCGAGGGTCGACGGGGGCGACGCGACGTGCAGGGTGGGGGCCGCGAGTGCTCCCCAGGGCGCCGCGACGGACGGGCGGGGTGCGCGCGGGCTCCCCCACGGCTGGAAACCGCCGCGCGCCTCGGCGCGCACGGCGGGCAGGGAACCGCCGCGCGCCCCGAGCGCGCGGCGGGATGAAAAATTGAAGGCCGCGCGCCACGGGGCGCGCAGCACAGAGTAGGGCAGCGGAAGCAGTAGTGGGGCCCACAGGCCAAGAGCGTAACCGCTCTGATAGCATGTCGGAATAGTAGGTATAGTGAGAGGCCATAGCTAGGAGAACCCTAGCTAG